ACACGTGTGCAGGCCGCCCATCCGATCCCGACACACGCCAGAGTAGACTCGTGCGCGAGCCAACAACGCATTTGTTGGTATGGAAAAAGGCCGCTGATTGGTCGCATGCAATTGGCTAATTGAATATGGTCACGATGCAGGTGCAAATGGTGGTTTCCGAGAATATATAAAGTTGGTCCTGGGAGAAAAATGAGCGAAGCCGCGTCTGCGTGGGCTGTTCACCCTGGAAGCGACCTCGTTGAATCCAAGCTCGCTGATTGAAGTGCTCGTTGAATCCAGGTTATTTTTATTTATTTTAAAGAAGAAAAAAACGTGGAATCTATCTCATCTCGTTGAATCCGAGCTTGTTAAATCCGAGTTCCAGTGTAAGTGTGTCTGTTGTTTTTTTTCCACGGCTACTGATCAATATATTACAATGATAAGCTAGTTTTGACATCGATCTACGCTATGAATTGTGCTCTGGTCTGTGGAATCTAAGTTCTAACGTCACCGTATGCTAGGCTCTAGACAGCAACACAAATTTCAACGAATCGGCCCTTTTGCACAATGTGTGCTAGTTCATTGTATTTTCCTGGAATGTTCCGACATTCCTTCGGTATGGCATCAAAGAAATGAAAATGCTTCTCATTTGAAACTAAACTGCTTTTGATTGAGGAAGTTGTCTAGGGGGGGAAAAGCAGGCGTTTCAGGGTAGCCTACCATTCATTACTTCTCTTTATATTATGTTACCATTCCATGCCCTACCATAATATGTACGCAGATGACACACGACTTTGTAAGTCTGCAAAACCCAACAAAATTCAATTGCTGTTAAAAGATACCTCAGAATGTTTTGAATCTGTAAAAGCATGGATGACTGAAAATAAATTGAAATTAAATGATGACAAAACAGAAATCCTGCCATGCTCAACCAGCTCAAAAATATATGCTCTTGATGTAGAATGTCTCACCATTGGCAAAGGTACTGTCGCTTTTTCAAACAAAGCAAAACATTTAGGAGTATACTTAGACAAAGACTTGTCCATGGAGACCCAACGTAACCATCCATGTAAAATTTCATACTTAGAAATGAGAAGAATTGCTCACATATAAGGAAATTTCTTGGCACTGATGCCACCATAAAACTAGTGTTTGCCTTCATTTTGTCACGCATTGATTTAAATTGCAATTCACTGTTCGCTGGCCTACTCGAAGAAAGAATTGCAAAACTCCAACGCATTCAAAACAATGCTGCCAGGCTAGTATTAATTTAAAAAGCAATCAAAACGCCATCATGTGACTCCCCTACTTAAAGAGCTCCATTGGCTTCCACTGAAAGCGAGAATTGAATAAGTTAGCCCTACTATGCTTTAAAGATCAAACTAACCAGTCTCCCACATACATTCAAGAACTCATTGTACCATACACACCATCACGTGAACTAAGATCCAGTGACAGTGGCTCTAGACTAATTTCAACACCTCGTGTGTCACTGAAGAAATATGGTGAGAGAGCTTTTCTTTTTCTGGGCCAACAGTTTGGAACACTCTCCTTCATGATTTGAGGAGCGAAATAAAACTTGATACTTTCAAAAGGGGACTCAAAACACATCTGTTTAAGAAATATTTAAATTAATGGACAGTACCTTTGCCTTTTTGTATGAGCATTTTTTTTATGTTGCTGTCAAAAAATGCGCACACAATGAATTTGTATGGTGTTAAGTATGAATGCGTTTTTAATCTCCTATGTACACGTTGGGCCCATGCTGTGGGGAAAGGCGGGATACAAATGCTCTTATTATTATTATTACTTGTACTTGCTCCATGCCTGTAATTATCTACACAAAAACCCCATGTTTGCTATAACGAACACTCAGATTCAACAAAACTGAAGGTCAGACCCGACGACTTCATCGAATCCAAATTCCACTGTTACAGCCTGGATTTTGTCTATTGCAGGCTGATAATAAATCCCTGAGTCTGTTATCTCTTATGATGTGTAGTACATAAAGTTCTTTTAAAGCAGGCACTGGGAATAAGCATGCTCAGCTATAACAGTTGTCCAACTATAGACAAAATCCTATCACAAATGGACAACAAAGCAACAACAAAAATCAATTTATGAAGCAAAAGAACATCTAATTGGCAAATTACACCTTCATGACCCTCTGGAGGCCCAAGTTGATTGTGTAGATTCTATATTACACATTTCATACCATGTGTGTAGGGGAGGGATGTGGACAGTTGGATGCAGTTGGATGTTGATGCAAATTTTCCAATCAATTACTTAAAGTGGCCTTGGTCTGGTATCACATCGTCTCCCGGTGGGGTGGCGAGACTTGTAATGAAGATAAATGACTCAATGAAAAATAGGCTATGGTTGTTTGATCTACAGCCGATCTTTGTGTGTTCCTATTCCCAACTGTGGTAACTACTTTTATTTGATCAGGTAAAGGGCACAGGGCCTACTGCAGACCATGGTATTCGCTAAATAAATTAAATCTTTTATTTATTTATTTTTTTGCTACGTGTACATGCATCTGGAGTGATATCTAGATCTAGTCAACCTCCGTAAGAAGACTAATAGAAAAAGAAAGCTAAAGACAAGGAGCAAAACAACATCACTGAGGAAAAAAGGAGAAATGGCTGATACATAGGCAGAGTGGGTAACCTCTCATGTCATGTCGTATAGAACCATTCCATTCACACTCTGAACCTGCAATCCTGCTTTAGTGGGACAGCTCTAATTTCCCTTCTCCAAGATCCCACTTAGACTTAGAGGTATCGGCACACCCCCTCCCATTTATGCACTTCTATGTCAATGAAAAGGAAATAAGCCATTCAGTACAGGATTGAGGCAGGAGGTAATTGAGAGGGTATGGTTTGAAATTTGAAGGAAAGAAATATGAATGAAGCTGTTTGTGAAGTGTTTGATGAGCTGATTGATCCCTGCCATCAACATCAGGGATAGGTGCTCAGGTCATGTTAGGCTCAGGAGTTCATGGTTCAAAGGGTTAATTGCTAGGTACCTTAAACGTGATCCCAGTCTATAACAGGATTTGACTGACAAGGATATCATGTTGGTCTCCATAGTCCTGTTTTAGCCGGGGGCCCACTGTACTGTTTCTCATTGTGTCAGGTTTGTCTCATCATTTCTCTATCACCCTCAGCATGTTTTGATACTGATTCATAAAGGAAGCTTTTTGTGTGTGTGTGTGTGTGTGTGTGTGTGTGTGTGTGTGTGTGTGTGTGTGTGTGTGTGTGTGTGTGTGTTGTGCAATGAAAAAGTTGACCTGTGACAGTGAAACTCGAATATAACAATTAAAGTCGTCAGGACTGACCTTCAGTTTCTTTGAATTCGAGTGTTTGTTATATAGCAAACATTAGATTTAATTGCAGGCATTTTTCAAGTAATGAAGGGAAGTAACAAGTGCTACCCCAAAATGCCTGCTTTTTGCCCTTTTCAGCTTCCTCAATCAAAAGAAGTTTGGTTTCAAATGAGAGGCATTTTCGTTTCTTTGATGCCATATCAAAGAAATGCTGAAAAATACGCTGAACTCTACCAAGCGCACACTGTGCAGAAGGGCCAATTCTTTCAAATGCACGCCTGTGTCATCAATGACGTATTATTTGCCAAACAAGTTGTGTTGCTGTGTGGAGCATAGTATATGGCAAAGTTTGATTTCACAGACCAGCATGCAATTCATTATGTAGAATAGCTGTAAATGGTGCCTTGGATGGTTTCCAGGAATAGATAGGGTTCGTTGTGCGAGAAAAATGAGCAAAGTCGTGTCAGTGGGGCCAGTTCACCCTGCAAGCGACTTGTTGAAACTGAGCTTGCTCATTTATGTGTTCGTTGAATCCAAGTTATTTTTTATTGATTTTAATTAATTTTTTTAAAACGGGGAATCCATTTCCTTTCATTGGATCTGAGTTTTCCTTGAATCTGAGTTCCATTGTAATCATTTTTCATAAAGCTGTTAAGTATTAATTAAATTCTTTGAGCAGACCAATAGACCATACAGCACATTATCAGCATGTAATTGGAAAAGCTCACTTTAAAATCTATCTCAATCTGATGCAAAAATCTTTTGGTTCATCAAGATTTTCCTCAACATTTGTTCTGCGCATCATTTTGAGGTAGACGAAGAAATTTAAGGCTAAAACAGCACCTGGGCATGGATGGCTGGTGCCTCTATAAATAAATCATTGATGGTCAAGGACGGAGGAATTCGTGCTAACCCATGTTCTAGTCAGAGACTACTAAACAAATTTTTTCTGTAATACGTATCAGATGCTGAAAAGTGTATGCATCAGATGCTGAAAAATTTCAGTGCTTCACTTTGCATTATTTTAGAATCCTGTAAATTATGAAGTGAGAAAATACAAAGCTACAAAGTGGGTCTGCACCACAGTCAAGTCCATTTCACGCAAAGACGCAACGAGTGAGGGATTTGGTCGCCTCTTCAAGTACATTCAAGGGAACAATGAAGAAAGTAAGTTAAACTCTTTACTTTTTTATTACAGCTTGCAAATGAAAGTAATTTAAAGGTCTTATCATTTCCTGAAAACAAAAATGACAAAGGAATATTTTTTTTACTGACTTTATCACAGCATCAAACATTTTGGGTATATTGTAAAAATTGTTCAAATACTCAGATACATAATTATCCGAAATCCATTATCTTTTCCTACTTACTATAATTTGAGCAAAAGTATTAGATATAAGCATTTTTTTCAAACCAAACAAAATTCTTTACAGAAGGAAGCAGATCCCACTCTTCTATTTTGTATTTTAAAACCTTGTTTAAGGTAATAGCTAATGATTCAAGGAAATGAATTTCAACACCCTGTTGCTTCAAGTTCATTTTCTTAATCTTTGATAATTGTCCAGCATGTGTGGTTAACTCTTATTTTGCTTGTCATTGAGGTGTTTCTATTTTTCAGGATTTAGCTTATTTTATTGAAACTGGCTCAAGCTATTGCAATTCTTCGTTTTATTTCTGTGGTACCGGTACATTTGGCATCAGATGTAATGATATGTATGAAATGTTTGAAAATAATCCCTTGGGTTGACTTCCCATCATAACAGCTAAACACAATTGAAAGTCTTTTTCTGAATCTATAATTAAAACTGTGTCGTCGGCATAGCATTCCTCACCTTTGAGTTTCATGCATCCTTAGTCTGTCTTGGAACTTGATGTTATTGTTTAGATTGACCAAGTTTCTGGTTATTTTAAGTTGAAATAATGATTTGTTCTGTTTGTCCTGGATGCCAGCATGATGAGGCTTGCTCTTCTTTGACTATCATCTCTACACATGTGTTTTCTCATTAGAGAACGTACCTCCAACCCCCACAAGTCCATGTTTGTAGGAAATAAGAACTGAAGGCCTACACCTTTGGTGTTAGAGGGAAATAGCTTACCGCTTGGCTTGCAATAAGCACCTCTTTTCCCTTCACTCTACACAGAGGCAACGGTTGAGATGACGGCTCCTGTAACCACCACAATTGTACCTGGCGAGGGACCAAACTGTGAGAGTACCTTCACTGTTGCCTTTTACCTACCCAGTGAGCATCAAGTGAACCCACCCAAGCCAAGTAGCCCAGATGTGTTCTTTGAGGATCGCCCTGAACAAACAATCTATGTCAGGTAAAAATAAGTTTCGACAATGTCATAATGATAATACAGTCAAATCCCGATATACTGCCGTTATACAAGATAGGACCGATTGCAATCTTGACTAGTGTTACAGGCTAGGGGGACCCTGTAGACATACATTCTTAAACCTGGTACTGGTCAGCCCTCGAGCCGCTTCCAATCTATCGTGTGGCATTGTCAGTCCTCACAATATAAAAATAAAAGCCTCACAGTCCCCCCCCCCCAGCTTTTTTGTCATCTGACTGATATATGCCTATGCCAGGTTTCAAATTCATTTGAAGTTTCTTCAGGCAACTTTGAAATTTCATTCTTTTTTTTTTTAATTTACATGGGCCAAAACCTAAATAATAGCATTTCATAACCAGTGCTAATCAGGAGCAAATCGACGACAAAATGTGCATTGTGTGTATCCTGATGGCCAAATCGCCGGCCGTGTAACGGGACAAATTTACATTATTTTTAATAGAGATAAATCAGACAGTTGGTGGGTGGCAGATGGTGGTGTAGGAGTGCAAATACAGTAGAACATGGCTGTAGCAGGACTTTTAGTTCCAGAAGAAAAATCAGACTGTAGGCAAGTTCCCGTAATAGGAATGCAAAGGGGAATTACCGAAAAATCACAGACTACACGCTCTCCTCTTCTTTTACAGTCTTTTTGGCCTGGCCTAGGCCTAGTACTATGGCCGAGACGTGATAATAAGCACATCTCAGCTATGGCACATCACTTTTGGCTTTTGGAGCGGCTCACGTAACGCGTCTCTCCGCACCATCTCTCTCTGCCGCCTGCCCCACCTCACTCATCACTGGACTGGCTAATCACAACGCAGCACCACTGACTGCCTGTTTGGAGCCCACTTACAGCCCCCCCCCCCCCCCCCCCCCAGCTAGAGCTCACTCGATCTCTCCCACTATATCCAAGTTTGGACCTTTCCTTGCCCCCTTACACCCAAGCACAGTTATTTGAGTTTACACAGAAAAAAAAAAAAGGGGGATTTCAGTAAGGTCCCAGCTGTAGGGATGGTCCCGCTCTGTTGGTGCAATAGAACAGAACAAATATCTTCTGAGAGTCATGAAGACTCCTTAAATGAAAAAAATTACAAAGGAATTGAACCGTGGACAGGCAAATTATGAGGCGAGATTCTGCTACTCTGTGCTGACCTGTTCCTTTGAAGGAAAGTAAATAGAGGATTTACCTTCTTCTACATGTACTGTTGTATGTGTGGGTGAAACAGAACTACACTATCAATTTCTGAACTTGTTAATTTTTATTCCTTCTTTTCAAACTTATGAAAGCCTTCACATTGACACTGCTTTACAGTGGGGCCTCTCAAATCCATCAGAGAATGACAAAGTTAACAAAACTTCTAAAACAAAATCTTGGCAAGTAAATCCTCTTACGACAACTGTCAGTAACACACAGGTCTGATTCAATGGATTTATCTGTGGCACTACATGTACAGGGTCAGGCGCCAACATGGCAGCACTTGACTCATAAAATCTCAAAGATTAATACTGTATATCAACTGTTTTCTCAGGAAATTTCGAATGATATAAACATGTATATATATATTTATACAGTCAAACCTGTGTAAGACGACCACCCATTGTCAAGGAGAAAAGTGGCTGTGACAGGTGGCCGTCTTAGGCTGGACTGATCAAGATGAAGAAAACAAACCATTCCCATCTGAAGTCCCAATCGAAAGTAGTCGCATTGTTATTGTTTTTGTTGTTGGATTGTATTTTGTTTGTTATTTTTATTTTGATGCTGATTTTGCGTAAGGGTGACAATAATACGAAATGTATAAGATGAGGAAGACTGAGTGCCATGTTAAAACAAACACATAGGTCGCCACCACTCGGAGAACGAGCGATGCTTCTGTCGCAGGTGCATGTCAAAGTCCATTGTTACTTTGTTACAGACTGGGTAAACAGTGACCACTCATCTCAATTACAATTTGTGTATGAGTTCTGGACGGGGCTTATGGGTTATGAGGGATCACTTGCTTACCTCACCAGCAGCTGAAAATTGGTACCTATTGGTCAACAATGGGAGGGGCCTAGACAACATCATCGGTTGGAGGGACTACCTAACAACAACGACAAGTGATTGGATTATGACGGCTTGCTCACAACGCTAGGGGCTAATGAACAATTTATGACAAAACGTAATGGAGTCACTAAGGTGGCCATCTAAGACAGATGTTATTGCTTGGTGTGATAGGGGTTGTGTGTTGAAATAAGGTGGCCATGGCCGCGTTTGACAGGTGCCCGTTTTACACAGTTAAATTATATAGAAAAAACGCAAGGGGGGAAATGGAAAGTGGCCGTTTGTACAGGTGGCCGTCTTATAGAGGTGGCCATCTTATAGAGGTGGCCGTCAGGGCAGGTTTGACTGTTATATATATATCCTGCTGTATCTAAGTTCCGGCCCTTCCTTGCCCCGTTAAACCCAAGCGCAGATAACTAAGTGTACGGAGACAAAAAAAAAAGGGATTCTGGTAAGGTCCCACTGTAGGGATGGTCCCGCTGCAGTGGGTGCCGCTATAGTCATGTTGTACTGTATTACCATCTTCCAAGACTGATAATTCAAATGCTATGCCATATTTGCTTCTACACTTACAGAAAAGAAGCTGGGGGGTCTCGTGGTCTAGAAGTTAAGGTGTTCGCCTCTCATTCAATAGGACCGGATTCAGCTCCTGATAGCGACTGAAAATTTTCATCTCTAAAATGTTCTCCTTTCACATCCTTTCCTGCTCTCTAATAATGTTGTGTCGTCTGCTTTCATCTAATAATGTTGTGTCGTCTGCTTTCATTTAATAATGTGTCGTCTGCTTTCATCTCCACTTTCTGCCCACAGCCCTCACCTCCTTTGCCCCTTCCTCTGGGCTCCTGTTTCTGCAGCCTTTGTACTGCTACTCCTTGGCTCCTTCTTACTGCTGTCTTTCAGCCACACCCCTGTATCTTATGGTAGGTAAGATGTACAACGAGCCTTTTCGGATAACGGCAAAAAATCTTAGAGGTCCTTTGTACAAGTTGTGAAAGTTAAAGATCCCTTGGTGGTCCAAAATCTACAAGAATAGGCTTTGGCCGCCACCCGAGCAAAATTCAAAATTCCCTACCAACTGAAAATGTGTCTCCCGCGTGCTCATGACCTAATGCAGTTTTCCAGCACTGTAAAACACTTGCCAAAAAAAAAGGAGGAAAAAAAGGAAAGAAAAAAATGCAAAGAAGCTGTGCAAGAATCAGCACATCGGAGACCCTAGTACATAACAAGTTTGATTGCCCCCTCCTTCCTAGACCTTAGGAGTCTACTTCCTCCTCCCTCTGCACCCAAACAGACAGAGGCAACACTTTAAATGGTTCAGTTCATTACCCACTGCTTTGTATCACTGGACAAGTAAACCTATCAAGCTACGGGGTCATATATATATACACCAGTATAACAAAATCACAAATTTCCATTAAATCTGTGACTCTGCTTTTACTGCTGTTACAGTTGTTCAATTTCTTGAGCAAGAACAACTTAGATGATTATGTAGTGTAAAATCAATATAATATCCCTTTGTAATATATTTCAGATCCTTCGGAGGTTTTGCAAATGATGAGAAATGGATTGCAGAAGGACTTGCTTTGACTGAGGCCATTGGAGATGAGTCCAAGTTTGAATCATCATATTATTTTACAGCCGGATATGATCCCCCTTTCAAACTAATTGGCCGTACAAATGAAGTGTGGTTTGTGAAAAAAGACAACTAAAATTAGAGCCATATTCTTTGACTTTTTGTTTTAAACTAGTCAATGCTGCCTTTTTAGTGCAGTTTTTTTTTCTCAATCTTAAATATATCTGTTCAATTGGATGTTTCTTCAACTGTATTTATCTTTTCCAAATTTGTGCAGGAATCATAAGATAAGACAAGATCAGATAAGATAAGATAAGATAGATCTTTATTGTCCAGATCCTGGTACACTGGTTTGGTGTTTCACCTCGTACACACACACACACACACACACACACACATACACACA